TTTGAAGGTGCAGTACATTAGGCATACCTGGCAGATCCCCTTTTCATTGCCTTCTTAACCCGGATGTGTTTGCAGGCTTGTGCCTCTCTGGGAAGAAGTGGAAGATATTTATTTCAGGAGTGTCTGATGTGCATCATTTATATGCTGAACACATGCCATGTGCTTTCTACAGTATTTTTCAAGCAGGCACTGTCGTTCTGGTGGCAGTCAGCAAGCAGCCTCTGGTTACAGAGCACTGGCAGCTCTGCAGGTACTGCAAAAGGTCTTACTGCCTACTTAATACAGGGCAAGGGCTTGGTCTCTTGCCACCACAAAGGCCACATTTATAAATCAGTAGTAAGTGCTAGGAGTAAAGCAGAAGAAATCATCAGTGACTTTCAAACTGTTCCTTCTTTAGTCCCCAAAGTGTATTTTTTGCCCTTTGGGGTGAGTTAGGTGGATAGGGAACTTTACCTCATTTGCTTTCCTGAAACCTGTTGGAAGTACAAGTGAGGCAGCAGTGTGATTTGTGTATGCATGCAGAAGAGGGCCATCTGAATTGTAAATAGCACCTGCTAAATTATTATTAAGTGAAAGCTGACGTGGGAGGAGTTCTCAGGAAAAAAAAACCTCAGGTCTTTTAATAAAAATCATTCAGGCTGTTTTAATGTTGTCCCCTGGCTGCACACTACATACTTCAGCTCCTGTGGATGCTACAGGGAGTTATGCGAGTCGTATCAAGGACAGAGGAGGCCCCATTAAATCCAGTTACTGTCAATTGTGTGAGAGCTTTAAATGGCTACACTAAAACTCGTTATTAAAGAAAAGAACTATCAATTTTATTTAACGCATGATGCCCAACCTTGATTCTGCTCCCAGCCCAGAGACTCGCCGTGCGCAGAGGTGATACAAAAATTAGACCTGCAGTCTTCAGGGCTTGTATTTAGCTGTTGCGGAGTCCTGGCTGCAGCTTGGCTGGCTAACTGGGGCTGTAGGAGAGTGCCCTGCACCCCTGTCAAGGCAGGGACCAAGCCTAAGCTCAGCCCATGTTGGCACTTGCCTTAGTCCAGACACACCTTTTGCTGGCATAGGTAGGGCTGCTGAGCTGGGCTTCAGGTGAGTGGGCACAGCTGCTCATCCTGAGCATTCTCAACCCCTCTGCTCCTGGTGGAGAGCAAAAAGGCGAGGAGCCGGGTGCCAACCTTGGGCCGTCCCGTGCAGAACATGGCAAGGTGTCTGGTAGGTTCTTCCTGCAACGAAGGCAGGTGGCAGGAGAGGCCCAGCCTCTCACGGAAGGTTTCTTGGCAGACCTGTGAGCTGGGGTTTAAGAGGACTTTTCCCAAGTGAAACAGCCCATTTTCCATCCTTCCATGGTTTATGGCCCCTATGTCTTTCCAAGACCCCAGGAGTGAAGGTGCTCCCCGGGAGCATTCCTG